TCTATCTATCTATCTATCTATCTATCTATCTATCTATCTATCTATCTATCTTTCTTTCTTTAAAACAGTTGTTAACATTGCGCGTCTTGAATGCACACCCAACAGCTGATTTGATTGGTCGGCTACTCAGCCTTTAAATTGACAGTTAAAGACAGCTTCCGGTTAAAGGTTTTACTTCTTACCTTTGTTAGGACACACAATCAAATTCCAGCAACTTCAACACAACTGAAAATACAACCAGCACTAAATTTAAGTATACTAGATCGATTTTCGGTTGTTGAGTATGTTAATAAAACGTTTTTGTTTTTTTTGTGATTTGAAATGTTTTGCATTGTAAACAAGAGTCGCAGTCCGTCTGAGGAAAAATAAAAGATGCCAAATTTTAGGGATCTTTCAAATCAAACACTTGAAACATTGCAAAATATCTGTACATAAATAATACATATATTACTGTACGAGTCCCTGACGTAAAATAAGACAAATTCCAAGCTTTAAAATTCATGAGACTTTACTGTCTTTGTGTTCGTGTTTAAATATTTACAATGAAACAATTTTATTCTGAAAACCAATACCGGAAGTATATCCGGAAATTGACCCCAGATTAGCGTGTAGCTTTGGCTGCATCTACTAAAAACTAGGTATCATCAGTGACATGACTTCGTGATACGACAAGATGTTTAAAAGACACATTTTGGCTTTTGAGTTGATTTTTTCTGGGGAAATGTGCTCATTGTCTCCTTATTCAGACCCTAAACTGTAGCAAGAAGTTCAGCGTGTTAAACACAAAGAAACCGGCTGTCCTGGAAGTAAGGACCGTTTACTTCATTAAACTTTGACCCATCAGTGGCCTGTTTGCTAACTGTCTGTCTGTGTGGATTGTGGCTCGTTTCGCAAACATAATGGAAACTCTTTTTCTTGTTGAGACTTTCAGAGATTTTAAACTAATTTTTCAGTTGTTTAATCTTTAACATATGAAACTGGTAGTTGTGTTTTCAGCTTTCTTTGCTGCTGGACTCCAGAAGTTAGCCCAACTTCAAACCAGAACCATGACACTGTGTCTCATGAATCAGGTGATTCCATCCTGAAAGAGCATGGACACATCCAGCCTGGATTCTTGGCCCCAGAGGACCAGTGAAGCATCCCAGGTCAGTGTTTATAGGCTTTAAAAAAGCTTCACTTTAATTTATGATGACACATTTTTATTTGATTAGAATATAGTTTTAGATCACTGGACTAGTTATTGTGCCAGAACTGAATTTATATACGTCTTTATTTATTTTCTTTAAGAAAAGTATTTAGTTTAAATAATTTTCTGCTAAAATGGTGGTCTGTCCAGTGTGAGATGCTGCTCCTGTCCTTGGAATTGATTCTTGCTGAGTGACCAAAAGTAAACGCCGTATTTTGACAGCTGTGAGAGTAGCTCTGATTTGCCGGTGTCAGGTTTTCCATGCGGCGGACCAGGCCACCGACCTGCTGGAAGGCCTCAACGAGCAGCGGCAGCAGCGGCTGTTCTGTGACGTGACGCTGGTCGCCGATGAGCAGCGGGTCCCCGCCCACCGGGCGCTGCTGGCCGTCTTCAGCCCCTATTTCCGGGCTATGTTCACCTCGGGCATGAGAGAGGAGCACCAGCCGGAGGTACACAGAAAAGCAACCTCACAGTTTCAGTGGTATTAGATTTACACAGCGAGAAAATGAAGAGCGCGACAGTCAGATTCCAGGTGCCCTTCAAAAACTGGCACATCAGAACCTCATGAAAGCTGTATGAGAGACGAGTACAGAAAATTTAGATAAGAGGGCAGCAGAGTGCGGGAAATCATTGGAAATACAGGCAGAAAATTTAACATAGAACTTGATTAACGAAGATGCAACTATACAAATACATGAAATCGCAACAGTTCAGAAACAGATAAAACACTTCAGGTAATGGCCCAAAGAGGAAGATGGAACATTAGGGTCAGACATTATATTTGTTCCTTCCTTTTTTCCAAATGCTGCTCAGTAAGTTTCAGAGTTTATCCGATTTGATAATATTCACTTCTTAGATTCATCTGTAAAGATGGAAATGAGTCCCGCTGATGGGTTTCTCCTCATTACGTCATCGTGTCCTCTTGCTGTTTGCAGGTGAAGCTGGTTGGGGTGTCTCCCGTTGGTCTGAAGGCCGTGGTGGACTTCCTGTACAGCGGAGAGCTGTCGCTGGACAGAGAAAACATTGGTCAGGTGCTGCAAGTCGCACACCTCCTGCAGGTAAGAAGGCACTATCCAGTTCAGCATACTCAACATTTAAGGTGTACGTGGTTTAAGTTTAGTATTTAAACCAACTCAAACAAAACGGCGTTCATATGACTCGTAGAATCCACCTTCAGTGTTGTTGTCTGAGTAATTTAAACAACTTCTGTTAGAAAATAGTACACAGCTGGCATTTTATTTCTGATTTTGATACCTGTAGATGTCTTTAAATCATTTGTACAAATGAGTTTTATTATATGCGATAACAAGAATAGATAAGTCTCAAAATTAGTTGTTTTTGCCTCATGTGAGCAGCTTGTGCAGTTAGAGCAGACCTTTCACATGGCCTTGACTTTGGGAGCTTTTGGAAACTGGGTGTTGTTCAGGTGTGGCTGGTGTTGGACTTCTGCTGCCGCTACATGGAGCAGGAGGTGCGGGAAGACAACTACCTGTACCTCCAGCAGCTGTCTCAGCTCTACAGTCTGGAGAAACTCGACGAGTCCATCGACCAGTTCATCCTGGAACATTTCGCCACCCTCTCCCTCACCCCGGACTTCCTCCAAAAAATCCCTTTGCACAAGCTCGCCTCATACCTCTCCAGTAGCCAGGTGAACCTCCCACTTCACAGAGAGCTTTTGAGCGATAAAGAAAAGGATGAAATCGGCGAACGCTGGCTTTTTTTTTTTTTTTTCCCCCACCAGGTGCAGCATGACAGCGAGCAGGCGCTGCTGGACGCCTGCCTGCGGTGGCTGGGCCAGCGGCCGGAGCGGGCCGCCCACGCCTGCCAGCTCCTGTCGCACGTCCGCTTCCCGCTGATCCCGGCTGACCGGCTGCTGGGTCAGGTGCTGCCGGCGGTGCAGGGCCTGCTGCCCGGGGAGGCCCCCTGCAGGGCCCTGGTGGAGGAGGCCGTGGCCTACCACGCCAGGCAGAGCGCCCAGCCGCTCCTGCAGAGCAGGCGGACGGCGCTGCGGGGGGGGGCCGAGCAGCTGCTGCTCGTCGGAGGGGAGGTACGTGACGTGAGGTGACCGCCGGAGCCGTCTGAGCTCCCCCCCGCAGGGAGGCTCACCCGCTCCTCCCGCCTTCCGACCGTTTGAGGTGCACGAGCGCGGAGGGGAGCTGAGCGCCAGCGTCTGCCGGCTGGACGGCCGGACGGGCAGCTGGGAGGCGGAGGCCGAGCTGCCGGCCGGGCGGAGCCACCACTGCCTGGCCGTGCTGGGGGGCTTCGTCTTCGCGGCCGGAGGCAGCTGGTCAAGGGACAGCGGAGGGGACGCGGCCTGTGACCTGCTCTTCAGATATGACCCCCGCCACAACCGCTGGACCAAGGTGCAGGTCCAGCTGCTCCCGTCTGTCCGGGAGCCCGCTCCGGACGCTTTTCGGCCGGCCTCCTGACCGGGCGGTGTCTTACAGGGCGCTTCGATGAACCAGCGCAGGGTGCACTTCTACCTGGGGGCCGTGGGGAAGCGCCTGATCGCCGTCGGGGGGAGAAACGACGGCGGAGTGCTGTCCTCTGTGGAGGTCTACTGTCCAGCCGAGGACCGCTGGTCCTACGTGGCAGAACTGCCTCGGTAAACGGGGACTTCTGCTTAGTCTCCATCTCTGTTGGCGTTGCGAGTCCAACACACTTTTGGGATTCTGCCTCTTCCAGGTTGACGTACGGCCACGCCGGGACGGTCCACCGGGGCGTGGTCTACATCTCTGGGGGCCACGACCACCAGATCGGCCCGTACCGCAGAGACTTCCTGAGCTACGAGCCGTCGGGGGACGGGGGCGTCTGGGCGGAGCGCCCGGCCATGTCGGTGGCCCGGGGCTGGCACTGCATGGCCTCCCTCCACCACGTCTACGCCATCGGCGGCAGCGACGACCACGCCGACACCACCGAGCGCTTCGACATCCTCCAGGTGGAGTCCTACGACCCGCAGGGCGGCCAGTGGACCCGGGTGGCGCCCCTGCTGCTGCCCAACAGCGAGGCGGGGCTGGCCGTGTGGGGGGGGAGGATCTACGTGCTCGGGGGCTACAGCTGGGAGAGCATGGCCTTCTCAAGGGTCACTCAGGTGTACGACCCTCGCAAGGGATCGTGGTCCAGAGGACCAGACCTGCCCAAGCGCGTAGCGGGCGCGTCGGCCTGCGTGTGCACGGTGAAGCCCTCCCCAACAGCCGCGCGGCCACACAGGAAGAAAACGGGGGCCGGGGTGAAGCCCACGTAACAGAAGGGGTTACCCACCCCTCCAGATCCCTTTTTCTGCTTTGTGTCCGACATGGAAATCACACGGACGCCCCCGTACGTTGGCAAAGCCCGTTACGGAGGCGCCTTTTTTAAAAATCTGTGCGTTGCCATTCAGCTGCCGGTGTTTCCTGTTACTGCCCTGACGCGGCAGACTCCTCAGGCCGAAGACACTGGAAACACTGACTGCTGTTAACAGAGTGGCGATAAGCGTGTGCGTTTCTGGTAGACGCCACACATGCCAAGCAGCTAAACCCCTGAGCCTGGTTTTCCTGGTGTCTGTGTGCAGGAGGAAGCCGGATGATTTCAACACCTGAAATAAATGACCCGGATAACAGATAATAATATTAATAATAATTACAGGTGCAATTGGCAAATAAGAGTCCTCATATCTCACAGCAAACACAGAACAGTTTAGCGAGTTTTAATATTCTTAACACTGATACTTGCTATAAAGTGATTTCCTTTATTGTTGTGTTGTAATTTAATGAAAAACCATTGAAAATAGGAACATTAAAAAGCTTGTTGATGCATCTCAATATCTGCTGTATTTCCATTTGAAGATTCTCTGTAAACAGTCAGCTGGGTTTTGGATGATCCAGACTGCTGTCTTCTCCCCTGGCTGGCTCAGACAAAAGGATAATAAGGGTGAGATTTGACCCTGAGAAACAGAGCAACAGTTGGTCAGGTGTCAGTTTCAATAAAATGGCCGTTCACACCTGGACAGAAACTTACTCCTCCAGTACGCAGCACCTCCAGCCTCGGTCCAGACCTCGCAGGGCCTTCATGTCCTCCTCAGCTAGTCTGAAGTCAAAGATCTGTAGCCAACCGTGGTTAAACAGAGAGTGAGAGCAGCATTTAGAGATAACGCACCACTAACATTTGTCATGAATGTTAGGCCCACTGTAACTGAAGGAAACTCCCCATTCATTAAATGATAACTTGTGTGTTAAACGTAACACATGGAGAGCTTTTACCTTTGTGTTCTCAAGGATGTGATGAGGCTTATCACTCTTGGGGATGACTGGAATCCCCTGCTGCACATGGTACCTGAGTAAAACCTGACCAAACACCACTGTTACAGACCAAAAACACACGCTTCCACACTTCAGACCACAAACTAACTGACCTGCGCAGGGCTCCGCTTGTGCTTCTTGCCTATGTCAGCCACCACAGGGTCCTCCAGGATCTTATGTGGATCAGCCTCCGAATAGATCCTTAGAAGATCCAGACTCTGTAAGTTCTCACAGACTTAAATCGGCATGTTATAAATAGCCCCAAAAGTCTACTGAACAAACTCAGCACACGTAGCAATGGTGATTTTATATACACACACATAGACCGTCTTTCAATGCAACAAGTCTGAAAAGAACCACTAAAGCATGCAGAGCATCACATAAACAAATAAAGAAACAACCAGGGGGAATCAAAACAAATGTAGAGAAACCAGTTTCATAGGCAGAGAGCCCGGGTGTGGGGGTTGCTGACTGGACAGCCTGCAGAAGGCATGTCCCTCAGCAGGCTGTTCTCATATAACCAGATGAATAAATGCTTTCATAAAATCCAGCATATGTGTAAATAATCTGCTGTATTTGACTCTTGTTTCCTTTTTCCACCTCAGACTTTAAACCTTTAGTACATAAATGAACATGCAGCGTGCACAGTTTGACAGTGGAATTGTCTGCGTTTGTTTTAGAGTCTTTCGGGGGTAAAGGGTCTTACAGGTCTTGAGGTCTTCCGGGGGAACCGAAGGGGCTGAAGGCTGTCAGGGCGATGTTCTTCGATTTACAAAACTCAATCATATCTGCCTGGACCATGTAGGGGTGTAACTCCACCTGCGGGAGACACGGTTAGCCGTTATCTTTCTAACAGCTTTGTTCTGCTGTAAAAATGATCTTCTAAAAGCTTATGAAGCCTTTGCCTTCGTGATGGGGATAAACTACTAACTACTAATATATAGTAGTGTACAAAAATTAATTTAATTCCTACTGTTTTCATGTTATTTCCCCACCAGAGCTGTTACGTCCACACTCATAACTGCATAAACGTGGTTGAAGAAAGCTGAAGTCTGACGTTTGATAGCGCCAATTACATAACAAGGAGCTGTTTGTTACCAGATAAAAGATAACATATTTTACTAGGTTTAACCTGATGCAGCCATCAAGTTGCTTTTAGTAGATTGTAAGTGAAGAACAGCAGACTAAATGTGGGCTTGTATGTATAATTATATGTAAGTTGTAAAAATTTTAATATAAATTATGTTAAAAGAAAAAAGCACCTGGTTAACGGCGGGGGGTACCCTGCACAGAGCCAGAAGTCGTTCCAGCTGCAGGATGCTGAAGTTGGACACGCCGATGCTCTTCACCTTCCCAGAGGCCTGCAGGGCCTCCATTCCCTAAAACACAACAAAACATGTCAAATGTGTCTTAAGCTTAGCTTTTGCTACTGTCCCACACATACATATGTTTGTGTTGTGAATTTCTACAGTGATGAATACTCAAAAGAACAGCAAATATGTATAAAACTGTAATAACTCGAATTATGTCAAATAGAACTCATCAAATGGCATTTCCTCATTCTCATTTTCAAAGACTGCGTTTGGTTCTTGCAAAGACAAATAAAATGAGTGCAGAATGGGTTCAGATATTTTACAGATGGTTTGTGTATTTGAATTTAATTCACATTTGATGTTTAAAGTTGAGTCCCAAATGTCCCAGAATCTGTGTTCCTACCCTCCACACGTCCACGTAGTCTATGTCAGAGGTCAGGACCTTTCCATCCTTTTTTGGGAAAAGCTCATCGCCCATTTTCTGCAGAAAAATCAATCGTCATCAGTTGTGTTGTCCTTTTCCTGAGCACAATACAAATATTGTCTTTGGGAGAGGGAGAATATTAATTCATTTTAATAAGTGAAAACTGTGGTTAGCTGAGGTCCAGTTAGTGCTGCCTGTATTATTCACATTTTCCTTCTAATGGGCCTTTCAGAAGGCCCGGTTGTCCTGATGTTTTGGAAGAGGTGGCTGGCACAATTTTCCAAAGAAAACTTCAAGTATTGGATAAAAATCTGAACATTTCTGATCGACTTTTTCAGCTCAAACTATCATTTGTCTGACATTTTTTTGCTCTACAAATCTGGAAAAATATTCCTCAAAGAATTCCGACAGACCAAAGAGATTTGTCAGGTTTTATGTTTCCGCATCTTATTTCTGCTCCTGATGTAAGATAATGGGGAATTAAGGAAGAATTTGGAAAAGCAGAATGGTAATTCTTTGTACCTTAAGCCCAACGGGGAAATGCACAAGGTAAAGGTCCAGGTAGTCCAGTTGGAGATCTTTCAAGGAAACATCAAGGCACGCTGGGATGTCTTCTGGGGCATGGTGGGTCTCGCAGAGCTGTCGGGAAAAGGCACAAATTCTCATCTACAGTTTGAGTAGGTGGAGTTCTTAATTAAGAAATTTCAAAAAGTCAAATCTTTGACCGGTTTTTGGCATTCCACCTTGCTGACAATGAACATGTCTTCCCGCCGGATGATGCCCTGCTGCATCTTGGAGCGCAGAGCCTTGCCGATGTCCACCTCATTCTGGTAGCTGTAGGCCGTGTCTATGTGGCGGTATCCGGCCGCGATGGCGGCCTCCACCGCGCCCTGCATCGAGGCCTTTGGCAGCTGAGAGGCCTGGGAGAAGGGTTGAGAGAGATGACTGCATGTGGAGAACTGGCTGCGGCTTCAGCCAGTTGAACGTGAAATTAGATAGAGGTGCAACACCGAAGCACCAAGTTCCAGTCTGAGTTTGATCAACTCTGGAACAACAGAGTCATCTCCTGTTCATCTCTATCCGATGGTCTCTGCTGACTGATTACATCATTTGTTCATAATCAGTTGTTCATAAAACCCATTAAGGCCTCCACTAAAACCTGTGGCGGATGAAAGGAGTAATAGCAGCATTTTCCAGGTTTTTTAACAATATAACCTGATAAGGACCAATAATTACTAACCTCATATGAGATGTCCTTATCACTGTTAAGAGATGTGTACATTAAAGATGATGAATAGTTAAAACCTGCCTGAACCAATGCACTTTTCATCTTAATTTCCATCTAGAATCTAGTTTTTACAGTCACTTCCTGTTGCAAAGTTCAACCGATAATTAAGTCAAAAGTGTCATAGAACACATGTTTTGTACAGTAACAAAGCAAGAATGAAACCAATTTAAAAAGTAGAATAACCAGAAATTATCAGCAAAGAGCAGATGTTTGCATCTGGATACCTTCCATGTCCCCAGACCCAGAAGTGGCATCCGAGCACCATCATTCAGCTCGATGTGCCGGGCCACCTGTGCTTCCTCCTCCGTGTACATCCAGCCACGACGGGAGACAAACGGTAAAAAGTGAAGCGCACTCTGTCCAGCCTTCCTCTTTCTGTTTCCCCTCCTGTTTCTGCTGTGTCAACGTCCTTCCTTTTTCTCTGCTGACTCCACTTAATCTGAAATGTTTCTATCCTCTGACTGTTGCTTTTTTCTTCCTTCTCTACCCGACTAAAAGTTAATTATTGGACAGCGTTCAAAGTGCTTCAACCACTGTAAAGTATTTATAAGTAAACACTGGGTGAGTGCGGGCACGTAGCAAAGGTCACTTTTGTCACATTAAGAGTGGTGCACACGCGTGGCAAACACACACGCGCAAAGTGTGCGAACAGGAAAAGGTGCTGCACTGCTCTCGGCTGGACATCAGAGGGGGATGTTTCCCCTCCATCCTGAGCAGATGGTTTCAAAATGTTGTGTGTGGGACTGGAATTTGTTCGACACATTCAGCAATGCAGCCACACTCAATGACAAATGACACATCTGTTAGAATTGGGCTCTAGTTACTCACTTACAGTTACTCATTTTATGCTATAACATAATCCATGTAAATGACTGATCGTCTTATTCCTTCTAGTACTATTCTCTGGGTTTAAACTCTCTGGCTGTGCACACAGATTCTCCTTCTCTCTGTTACAGTAGATACACGTCTTCAAGGACAGCGGGTGAAAAACTCCACAGCTGTTGACGGAATGAGCTTCATTTGATAAAAACTAATGTTTTCTGTGATGAGAGAATAACTCTCTGCTCTCAACATGCAACAAATAACCGCGGTGGGATGTTTCAATGTGCTCTTTCCAGCCATCAGCAGCCTTTAATGAGCTCTTTTACTGCCGTGTAAACATTAAAGATGTGCGGACGCTATTTTCTGCTCGATGCGGTGGACCTGAACGAGCTTCCGGAAGAAGTCCTGCTGTGCTCTTTATCCACAGCCGACTCGATGTCTGACACTGTAAACACAGACAGTACATACACGATGAGAAGAATCCACTGGAAATGACACCAAAGGCTTAGCTGAAAAAGAACAGCTGCATACTTGAGTTTGTGGGCGTGTCGATGTCTGGCAGGAGGGCAAAGTTAGCCAGCTGGAGGCTCTGCTCGTCCGTTTCACTGTTGGCCTGGATGAGCAGGTTGTGGATGTTCTCCACAAGCTTCCCTGAGGAGCCAGATGACCACAAACTCACAAACGCACAATCAATGGCCTCATTCAGAGGACTTCCCCCACTCACCAATGCAGAGCGCGATGTTGTCCGCAGCCACGGTAACGGATCCGTCGTCCAACAGGCCCCGGATGGAGGCCGTCAGCTGGTCCACGGCCCTCTGAACCACTCTGCGCTGCTCCTCCAAAGAGTCCCCCAGGCTGATGTGGTTCTCCAACTCAGACTGAGGCACAGAAAGACACAGGAAGTCACCAGAATGAAGTATTACTGTAATCTATTGAGAAAGATTGCATGTGTTCAACATTTGTAGGCAGTCGTCCAACTTCATCTCAGAACATTTCGGCATTTCTATCACTTCTACTAGTTATTATTCTGTCTTTTTTCTATCAATTGCTTTTTCATTCTGTCGATTCACATTCAAGCAAAACTTTTAGATTATGTCTTGTAGGGTGATTTGAATAAGGCTGTGCGCATCTTTTGGTTTCACTCCTCATTATGGCTATGCGGCTTCTTAAATGATCATTTAAATAGACAATAACATCTGCTCTTATGTCACATTTCCCACCTAACTCATTGTGTTCAGAGTTGTATTGAGGGAATGAAAATCAACATCAATATGTAACGTTCGGATGTCCTGAACGTTACATTTATTTCTACTCTGATTTTATGAAGTGGTGTGATTCCCAGATTATGTGCCTCCTTTTGTGCATTTTTCATAGTTGGCCGTGTTGACAGTAAACAGAATGACAGAGACTCACCTCTAATTCCTTGAGGTGGTTCATACTGTCCTCTTCGTGTAGTCGAGCTTGCTCCAGCATCAGGATGTCATTCTGCAGAAGAAAACTCATACTCACAACTGAAATCTGTCTGAAGTGACCGTCGGCATGTTTGCGGGATCTCCAAATACCTTGATATTCTCTGTGGAGATCTCTAACATGTTGCTCTGGGCGTGCAGGTCAGTGATGTAGTTCATGAGGACTAAATTTGTCCGCTTGTTTGTAGTAAATGCGAGGCCGATCTGACTCAGGTTGCTTTCTCTGTTGGCCTCCACCAGTGCATTGTAGCTCTGTACGTACGTCTCTACCGGCTTCGTTCTCTCTGTGCAAGCGTCACAGGTCATTAATAAATGCAGGAAAACACGTTGAGAGTTTGCAGAAAATATAGAAAGGTAGCTTCAAAAGGGGTTGATAATCCCTCTATTTGCTTCAGTCTGCAAAATAACTTAGAAATTCGAATGAACTGGACCGTGACGTTGGATTCAAATGTGTTTTAGGCAGAAATGTAGACTCTGATCTTTTCACATTTTGGATATGTGTACGAATTCTTACCGGCTGCAAAGGCAAACGTGAACTTGAAGCAGCTGGAAGGCTGTAAGGTGACTTATCTATACAGCATTGGGTTTTATTCTTTATAATTTTTTTCTCTGAACATGTCTTGGTTTATTTGCATATAGATCATTTAAATTCTTTTGATCTTTTGTTTTTGATTTTTTTAAACATGTCCCAACATGTTCATCTTCTTATTTAAAGTAAGTAACTAGTAACTGTCAGACACTACTCTAAAATCTCTTAAATAGTCTTGTTTTCTATGTAGTAGCTATAAAATTAAACTAATCCCACATCTCACAGAATATTAAATACTTAAGTGCTTCAGAGCATTTTACCTTTTGTTTTAGAGTCTTTTTCCTGAACTGAAAGGATGATTTTCTGTAATTTCGTCATCATGAATTTCTGCAGTTTGGCATCATGTGCAATGTGAGTCCGGAGGACCATCTCTTTCTTGCTGAACTGATTCGTCGCATCCTCAAGGCTCTCCTTCATTTTCAACGTTTGGGTCTCAGCCTTCGATCTTCCGCACAGAACCAACAATGTCAGGCATCGCGGCTCGGCCTCAGACAAAATATGGGAATTTACCTCTGATTGAAAAGATCCGTGAAGTCAAACTCTAGCTCCTCCATCACGGCTCCCTGCTCTGCCAGCTGGTGATCCAGTTTCTGCACAATGTGTTGAGCTGTATCTCTTAGCTTCAACAGATGAGCGAGGTTTTCACGACAATCAATGTTTCTTTGCACGTTCACATCAAATTTAGTTGTAAACTGTCGAAGAAAAGCAACAAAAAAAATTCACAACTTAAGGTTGAACACTGAGGATGGACCAGGGCTTAACACCAAAGTCTGAGTGTGCAGAAGCTATAGGTCATAAATGTCATAGATGTTATCTTTTTCTTGCAGGGAACAGTTTCCAACCGTTACTACTTTATCTTAAATATCAACGCTATAATCTTGTGAACAACAATATTTAAGATTTAGAGGTTTGGTTTTTCTGAGCCTTTAACCAAGAAATCCATTACAAAACTTGACAACCTCATATGAATATATTTACAAGATACTGAATAAACTGAATAAAATCAGTTTTAGGTCCTTATCTTGTTTTGTTTTTTGCACCTTTACCTTTTCAAGGTTTCTCAAGATGTTCCTGTATTTCCGAATCTTGCTTTGAGGCTGTAAGATGTCATTTGGAGCTCCTGACATCTCATTAAGCTTTCTCTCTGTCTCATTTATCTAAAAGGGGGGGAAGATTATGTGATTACTGTTTAAGGACATCCACAATAGATGAAGCGTAATCAAAATACAAGCTGGAAACAGTAAGGCAATAAAACCATTTCACCCGCAAAATCTTTTAAAACAGCTCCTTAATATCCAATTTTTTCAGTTCCATTTTAAATCTAACATGTGACAGAAGATCCTGATGTTAGCAAATATGTGACCCCCTGCCAAGACAAATAACAAAATACCAGATTGCTCCTTTTTCAACTTTTAATGTTTGAGATAATGGAAGTCATCTTTTTAAACTGCCTTTTTTGAAGTACTAAGCTTTTCCTCATTGGCTCTTTGTATTCCTCAGAATGCCTCTTTCTGCTAACAAATAATGCTCCTGGCAGCCAAACTCCTCCACGGCCTAAAGATCTCTTCCCAGCACAGCAAATGACTCTCAGATTTGCGGTTGCATGTTTTTTTGGAGCGAGCCCTCGGCTATTTGGCTTCCGTCCAGTGAAACCAGAACCTTCTTGGTATCTGGATAACAGATATCTTAAACTACAACTCTGAGATCAGGCTAAAAAACGCATCTATTTGCTATGCTGTGAAAAACTCCAGCTCCAACTCCCATGATGCAACAGATGAAGCTGACTTTAACAGAGATGCAGATAAAAAACAAAAGTGAACAAGTACATTAGCTTCTCGTTGCTTTACCTCTTTCTCGTGAGACCTAAGTTCTTCCCTCTGCTGATGAATGAGCTGCTTAAATTGACTGTTTTCCTCCAGTATTGCTCCGTACTCATCCTGGAGGCTGTTCCTTTCCATTTTAGTCCGGTGATTAAAAATTAGATAGTTATGTCCCTATTTCTGGTCTATATTAACTATGAGCCAGTTGAGCAGAGCGTGTCAATTCGACAATAAACAGAAAACCCAAACAGAATGTTTACATTTGAAAATGAGAAATGACACATTTTTTTATTAGGACAAAAGTTCAACGCAGTGGTAATATCAGGTATTTACATGTAAGTGAGGAGGGGATATTCTACAAAAGCTGTGCGTGATGATGCATTTTTTCTCGAAAAACCCTCAAAAGAGGCCATTAAGAGGCCCTAAATTCAGAAGCACCTCAGCGGATTCATTTTGATTTGGAGGAGCAACATCCACACATTGGACTTGTTACCAAACTTATGTGGCTGGTGTTGTTTTGTACAAAACACTATCAGTCCACCAGTGATCAGGTCAAGGTTATGACTTCATCCAGGTGTAGGAGAGTGGAAATTGAATCCTTGATTTAGTATGCAGATGTTTTTTTTCAAATATCAGTTCACAACATTCATGTCAAATGATTTTATTAGGTGGCCATAAACAAAATAACAAAACCTGGGTATGAAACACAAAGAACTCAAGAAACAAAGATGGATATGCTGTTTGATACAATTAACAACAAAAGATGTAGAGAGACAGTTCTGATGAGGAACATGTCCATGCAATCTGAAAGTAGAAGTATGCAGATGACTGTCAGCACATAATGCTAATGAAAGAGATTCTAATATATATTCCTCTGATGGTAGATTTGAGAGTATTAAACAGGAATTTTCCTGTAAATAATGCGGCTGCTCACAATCCTGTGTTCAATATCAAAGCGGCAAACACAGCGTTACACAAATTATATAAATATACAAAAAAAGGTTAATACAGTTGCCCATAAAAAATATAAATATCGTGGCAGCCCATTTCGTCATCGAAAATTAGTCCATCAGAAATGCGGCTGGAAGGCTTCTCGTTGCCATGGCGAAGACAACTATGGTGGCAGTTTTCGCTCATCATTACGTGGGATTTCTACATGTGCTCGGCCGTCCGCTCGGCTCCTCACTGGTCCAGGTCGTGGCTGTCGGTGCTGTCGCGGCTGCGGGGCCGATAGTAACGCTGGCAGAACTCTCTGATCCGAGCACAGGCCTCCGTCATCAGGTGCTCCGGCACCGTCACCACGATCCGGAAGAAGTTGGGGTACTCAAACGCCTGAGAGTAAGACAGACCGTTTTTTAGTTTGTTTGTTTTTTTCAGCTAGATTTAAAAGGGGTGAAAATGATCAAAAGTTATGGTCTCTAACCGAAGCAGGCAGACAGAAGACCGACTGCTCCGTCACCAGCCGTTCAGTGAAGTCCACGTCGTTATTGAAGTCTGGAAAGTGGTAAATGTCTATCCCAACCTGGAAATTACAAACACATGTGAGTGACGAAGCAACAATGGCACGATGAAACCTGCCGCATCTCAGATTTCAGCCGTTCAAACAGAAACTTTAAGGGGTTAATATCAAATGTCTCCACTCGTAAATCTGAGCTCAGCTTTAACGTTTTTGTTTCTTCATCAAGTGGGGTTTGTTTTCTGTAATCATTCCTAAAATATCTCCTCGGCTTCACTGAAATCTGAAAGGACCTGATGCATGTAGGAGACGGATGAGACACTAATCACTGACCATGAGGTACATGGCTCCTGAAGGCATCACGGGGTTCAGGCCCGGGACGGTTGAAAGCTCGTTGAAACAAATCTCTGAGTTCGACTGTGGAAGAAAAAGGGAAATTATCCAATTAGCTCCATATTGTTACATGTTTGAACCTCATTATATAAATGGATTTTTATTTGACTGGTTGTTGAATGGATTTCAAATCTTAAGGAAACTTTAAATTAAGGGATATCAGCTGTTTGACCTCCCTCTGATCGCAGATGTAGAATTAAAATTAAAAGAAGTGAGAGTTTGGTGTGCACCTTCAGGAAGTCGATGGTGTTACTGTAGAAGCTCTGGGGCGTGTTGTTGAGGATGCTTTCAAGCGCTCCCTGGATGATGGTGCAGGCTCCCAGAATACGCTGACTCAGTTTGACCAAACCCTGCCGAATCTGTGAAGGGGACAAGTCGGACAGATTAAAGCCCCTCGTTACATAACGTTTACTTACATATGCTTCTATTACTAAGGAGAGAATATCAAAGGAATACGAGTTTATATTTTTGGGTGTGTAAGTCCCCTATGATTTTATTAATTTGTTTTTTATTAGAAAAAGAAGTAAACATATCCTAAATATATCAGGTCACATTAGAAATTACAAGACACCTTTATCGGCTTTTTGTCCTCTACTATGATGGTCATTTAACTTTCTGTCATTTACATGTGCAGATTAAAATTAATTGATTCCAAACCATTTTGCTTGTGTTGAGGTGCTAAAAGCCTCAGTTTTATTTAGATATTAATCGTACCTCTGATCCAAATATATCATTCCTGTCATGAATGAGGATCCATCCCATCCTCCAGCCGGGGACGAGCCAGCGCTTTGCCAAGCCGCCACAGGAAATGATGGGAACGTCACTGCTCAGGGACGCCAAGGACGGAGAGCTGCATCCCGGGAAAACCTGAGGGCAGGATGAAAGTTCAGATAAAATTCAATTCAGTTTTAAGCTTGTTGATACAGACCTCAGTGGATAAGTGGGACCGATTATTGTTTTTAAATTTATATATCAACTATACTTATATTATTTTTATAACTATTTTGATAACTTATTGGGAGAAATGAATACTTTTAGTCCCCAGATGTTGCTCTTAAAAGCCAATCATGAACAACACAAAGCAGTTCCCTGTGATGCTCACGCTATCAACTATTCAAAATGATCCTTTCATTCTTAGTTATGTAATCTTCAGTCTGGAAGGGGAGGAGAAGCCAGAGAGGGCAGGAGAAGCTGGGGAACTCCATCCTCTGAGAGGTTTAAGTTACAGTTACCACAGAAAGTTTGTAAGAAAGCTGGTTTTCATTATAGCTATACTGTGAGTGGGGCGTGGAGCCAGACACTGCCCCGCGTCCTATTGGCCAGATCCAGATGAGTGATATAACAGTTTTTAAAAAACGACTAAACGGTGATTATACAAGCTGGAAATGTAAAGAATTCCTGGTGTCAAGTTTTTAAAAGTGAAATTGGACTTTTGTAACAAAAAAAAATACATGTGAAAAAAGAAAGAAATGTAGCCTGCATGAAGGGTGCACGTGCTCCAGGTCGAATTGCTTTGCTCAAAAGTACAAACACACGTCATGAAAGCCTAATTCATTGCTTTATAGAAGAAAAAAAAGGGTTTTAATGTCCAACAGAGTGAGCCTCGCTGTCTGCTGCAGTCCACAAACACCCATGACCCCCTTAAAACTGGAGTCATAAAGAACAGGCCTCCTAAAAAACCCACAAAAACAGCCCTCCATTACACGCACCCCCATTCCTCCCTAGTTTCTGCCGCGCCAGTGCCAGACATCAGCATTAACTGTAAACACATGTGGACCGAAAAGTGCAAAGTCATTCTCCTCTGCTTGGGATCAATGTGAATGGTCGTGTGGAGCCTATGGAGGGGAAGGTTACATAAGACCAGCAGCCGAAAATATTTAACAAGTCTGCAATCTCCTCTCATTGCTTGCTAGGATGAGAAGCTTTATAGTTGCTGCTGTGAGATACAATTCAGATTGTTGACTTCAATTTCTTTCTGTTACTTCTATATCTACCATCCTCACCCACAGGCAGCAAACAAAGCAGAATATTTCATGGGTGTGTCTCCAGATGTCCATCCACTCATTGTATTCTGGGCTGGGGACTGATGGAGACACATTACCCATCTATCTACTACAGGGAGGATGCTGGAGTCACCAGAGAGAATCATCTTATTCAAAGGGAGAGCATGCAAACTCACAATAATCAGGAACCTTCTCGTATTATGCAATGCTACCATGCAGCATCTGTCCAACAATCCACCAATTTGTTTCTTATCAATTGTCATGGCAGTAACAAAAAATATACTTTGAAATCAAATCCACATGAAGACCGATTCACAGTTAGACAATTAAGGGGATTTGGAACTGGACAGGAAGACTAGAGAGACCAGTCTGACAAACACCAATACAAAATATGTAATGGACATGCTCTGCGTGGAGCTACATTTCTTAATACATTTTTAATACAAAACCTCTTAAAGGAAATGTAGTTTCCTGCATCGTGTTACTTTTGGCTTATCACGAAAAACAATTGATGGCGCTAAATCTTCTGAGAATTGCCGAGGTAGAGTTTATCTCAGGTGAGCTAAAGCCAACTTTGAGTTATTTAAATGAATAGATTATAAAAACGTCTGACTTAAGGCCTAAAATCAATATGAGAAGGGATGAGTGGCACACTGTAGTTGATAACTGAACCCCAGCTCAAAATGTCGTTTAAAACAAACAGGATGGACGCACATGCATTTCATTTTGCGGCATGGAAAAACCAAATGGCTGATGTTAATATGTTGAATGCTTAAAATGACTAAACTTGTGCTTTACTAATATGAAGAACCCAGAAAATGTAAATAAATCCCATTTTAGGGCTGAGGTCATCCCCTCAGAAAGCCCCTGACATAATCATTTGTGTGCATCTGGACTAGATGACATCTTGTTTGCCCTTGCTGACCTCACTGGGAGCTGAGACATCCCCCCCCCTCCCCCCTCCCATCCCGATTTAAGGTCATGAACCCACCATAGAGAACCAGGGAAAATGCACCTGATGAAACACAACCACTGCCAACCTGTGCTGGGAAGTGACCTGTGTGTGTGGTTTCACTCACCATGTCGCTGTAGATTTCATCAGCCAGAATGGGAACGCAGTGTTTGGAGGCCACTGGAACAAAAACGAGACAAATCTAACTGTTTATGTTTCTGTTTCTGCATTTGGACACTTTTATCCAAAGCGACTTACAAAGTAGACACAATGTTATAGTTCTCATCAATCTGACATTCAGCTCTCTACAGGAAAATCCCCAGTCAGAGTCAGTGGTGACAGGAGGAGATAGAGCGAAGCACAGAAAGAGGAGTAGAGGGTACAGAGGTATGGGGAGGAGTTAGGATAGGAGATGCTCTGTGAAGAGGTAGGTCTGTAGGAGTTTCCTGAAAAGAGACAGGGACCTGCTGCTCTTGTAGCACCTGGTAGGTCGTTCCATCTTAAAGCTTTTTTGGGGGCCTTAAAACTGTTTTGAGGGCTTTTATGTTATGGTAGGTCATTCCACCATCTTGGAACAAAACCTGAAAACAGTCTGGATTGTCTTAACGTGGTGCAGCTCTGCTAGACCACAACCCACTGATGACCGGAGGGGCCGAGCTGTGACATAATCCTTTGCAAGAGGGTTCAAGTAAGAGATGCTGTGTTGCACAACCATGCAACCATCCAGGTTTTGTTTGTTTTTGGGGTTTTTTATGTATGCAACTCACCTTGAAGGATCTTCTGCAGATGTTCCTTACTGAAGACGGATCCACACGGGTTGGAAGGGTTGGTGACAATCACACAGGACGTCCTCTCGTCGATCAGGCTCTCCATTTGCTGGAGGTCGATCTCCCACGACTTCTCTGGCTGTAAACCAAAGAAGTAGGATGAGGACTCAGTGTTAATGCACTCACCTCCAGTTCAACTACAAATTCCAGTCATTAAATGGTGAGAACAAAAGATATAAAAGAACTGTTTCAGAACATTTGTCTTAATATTTTATTCATATTTCTATTAGAAATTTAGATTAGAAAATTAGAAATTCATATATGCATATTCTATACATTTTTAAAAAATCTTTAAAAAATCTTACATCGCTATCTTCAGCTTGACAGAAAGACCTGAAGTGTGACATCTACTCACCAGTAGGTTGTAGAGTTTGACCTCAATACCCATGGAAACAGCCAGAGTCTTGTATAAAGAGAAACCCGGGCAGGGTACCAGAATGTTGTCCCCGGGGTTACACAGGACATTGATGGCCAGTTCAATGGCCTGACTGCAGCCACTGGTCAAAATCACATCCTACGAGGTAAAAGGAGGGCGGAGACACATTGGAGCATTAGAACATCAGATCTCTGTGTTGATTCAGCACCAACAGAAGGTCTCTGTGACAAGTTAGCTCAACTCAGAGACGTGCACGTCTGCATGAACTGTCTTTTCTGTCAAAAGATGCACTCCAACAGAAGAACGGCTAAAGAAAAAGCAAGTACCTCCGCCTCTAACGGAGCCTGTGGGCAGCTGCAGAAGTTTGCCACCGCCTGCCGACTCTTTAAGTAGCCTGCAAACAGAGAACATTAATCAGTCAATCAAAATGTATTCATATATATATATATGCGGTGAAATGATTTTAAAAGTAAAATCAAAACATATAAAAGAAAGAGTGAACATAAAAAAAATTAAAATCAGAAAAGGTTACAAAGAAAAAAAAGAATGAAACTGTCACCCTGCTGCTACGTATTAAAAGCCAGACTGAACAGAAATGTTTTGAGTTTGGACATAAAAAGAGTGATATCTGTAACAGTGTGAATGTACATTAGCATAACAGCACACACGGGGAGATGTTCAGCATCTACCATTCCCACTAAAGCACAACTTCTCAAGCTGAGCTGCCCATTTTTAGCACGACGGTGTGGATTTCAAGCGTTTACTTTGTTCAAGGAGTCATACCATCATTTGATGATCTTTTCTTAGATTTCAGCAGTTTTACTGCTCAGTGAGACTCACCCACTGAGGGGGCATAGCCGTTGTATTTTTCAGAGTCTATGGCGTCCTTCAGGGCCTGGAGCACAGCACCATCTGTAGGCAGGTTTCCAAACACAGTGGGGTCTCCTGGGGAGCAGACACGGCAGCCAACAAGCATTTTGTAGAGAGAGAAAGGAAAAGAGAAAAAAAAAGTCATCAGCAGAGGTTATGTATGACCGGTTATCGGGGGGGATGTAATAATCAAACTAAGTGCATTGGTTTACAAAGTTATTATTTCATGTTTGTATCTATTTTGGTTTAATCGTTTTACAAAAGACAAAATTTTAACATTCTTTCCGATGAATATTTTTACACGGTAATAAATAACTCACCTATGGAGAGCGCAATCATGGGTTTGTCCGGGTTGGGGGTGAGTTTCATCCCATCCACGATGGCCCTGATGGGGTTGAGCGTGTTCTTGGCCATCTCTGAGGCCTTCACCTCCCACCTCTGCCTGCGGCTCTTGGGTTTGGCCGGATACAAGCTGCCGTTCACGCTGACGTGGTGCAAGCCGTTCCCATGCAGCCCCTTCACATTGACCGCCGTGGCGTTCAGGCTCTGAGCTTTCACCAGGCTTTTGCCATTCCCATTCATCTGAACGAGGTACGACTTGTTGTCCATCCTGGAACTGATTGTGAAAAAAATAATGGACAAAGAGTGTGTTAAGAAACAAAATACAATTACAATGGGATTTTTAAAAATTCAGTTCAGTTTCTTAATTACTACAGTAAACAATATGATCACATAATAGAAATATTATCAGTAAGAAGACACCCAAAATCATCAGTATAAAACTAAGTCACATATAACTTTTAAAAGACTACATTGTTTACAACCTTTCACTTGTTTTTTTGTTGTTGAATGGATGAACTGATAAATAATTGGTCTCGAATTACACTTTTATGCAAAAAACAAACAAACAAAAACAATGTACAAAGACTAAACAATTCTTCTTTTGTTAATTGATTAAATAAACGTGTAATTAAGGCCATTTTCGTTAATAAAGCAGATGGTTTTATTTCATTGATCGGTCATTCAAATTCCACTGAAAAGGCGGCACACACACACACACACACACACACACACACACACACACACACACAC